TGATGGACGGCACGCCGTACACAAAAACCAGGTCCGCGTCGGAGAGGTCCGCGTCCCACAGGGAGCAGAGACGAAAGTGCTCACCACGGGCGAGGACAGACTGCATGCGCGCAAATAGGACGAGAGCAGGATTGAGCTCGTAGCCCGTCGCTCGAGCAAAGTGGCCGTTTCGCACCGCAGCGCGCACGAACGCGCCGCCGCCGCTGCCCAAATCCACAGCGTGCTGCCTTCTCCGCACATGGCTTTGCAGCACGCCACCCCTGCCAAAAATGGCGTCAATCTTGGCCTGCGCCGATGGCACAAAGGGTGCACCCTTCCGCCGCCATGCCGTCACAAACGAGTATGCGAAGACGGCGTTGACGGCTGTGCCAGCGGCAAGGGCCAGCTCGGATCTGCCGACCCTTGCCTCGTTCCCCATTTGGCTATGGCCCAAGTCTAGTCCGGAAAGCCTCCTCAACTACCTGCGCGAACAAAGAATTTTACGCATATCCTCGCACGATACTGGGTGGGGACGTGTCTGTCCTCGACCCAGCCCTAGCTTGGGATGTCCGTTGTATTTGGGCACGGGATCGTCCTTACAAGATCCTGCTCGTGCAGGTGGGGACCCTGTCCTTCTCCCACCCCTCGTTTGGCGTGCCCGTTTTATTTATTGATTTATACTGGGCACGGGACTGGCGCGCACTGACATTACACTCGTCCGCGCCGGGGTGTTGCAGAGGGTATGGGAGGAGGGGTGTGTGTCAGTGTGAGGGGTGTCCAAAGGGCAAAGCGCAGAGGCCAGAGCGTCGTCTTTTGCCTTTGAAAATTGAACAGCTCCTTTTGCCCCGGGCAGCAGTCTCACACATCTTTTATACTCATCTCTTTCCGGCCGAGGCGGGGCGGTGAGCGTGCGCGCGCGCCGATGATGCGGTGCGTGTGTGACGGTGCTCCACCCACTTGAAGCGCAGGTAGACGTTGCTCCAATTTGCTGCGCCGCTCGTCTTCCGTCTGTACAAATTGGCATTTTCCTCCTTGTCCTTCGATTGCGACGTTCTGTTCGCCCCCGCCCGGAGATAGTGGATCGCCGGCCATGACCGGTTCACTGTGATGGTGACGCGCGGTCTGTGATGGCCCAAGCGGAACCACGTGTGCGGGTCGGTCCAGCCGTAGTGGCCGACGAAGTCCTCGTCACATCCGCCCGCCTGCCAGTAGAGATCCCTCCGCAT